TTTTCTGTTTTGTTGAGTCTAAATCTCTTTATGGGTCTTATGTATCTGAGTGTTAGGATCGTTAGCTCTTATTGTTGTATTGATCCTTTTACCACTATATCCTTGTTGCTTTGAAATCTATTTTATCAGATGCGAGAATTGCAACTCCTGCTTTTTATTTATTTTTGCTCTCCATTTGGTTGGTAAATCTTTCTCCATCCCTTTGTTTTGAGTCTTTTTGTATCTTTGCATGTGAAATGGGTCTGGATGTAACATTCCGTTCGGTTTTGGCTGTATCTTTTGATTGGGGAATTTAGTCGACTTAAATTTAGGGTTACTGCCATTTGATGTTAATTGCCTATTTTATCCATTCGTTGATGTAAATTCTTCTTTATGTTGATGCTCTTTACTTTTTGGTATATTTTTGGAAAGGCTAATACTGGTTGTTCCTTTCTATATATAATGCTTCTTTCAGAAGCTCTTGTAAAGCAGGCCTGGTGGTAATAAGATCTGAGTACTTCCTTGTTCATAAAAGATTTTATTTTTCCTTCAATTGTGAAGCTTAGTTTGGCAGGATATGAAATTCTGGGCTGAAAGTTCTGTTCTTTGAGGATGTTGAATATTGGCCCCCACTCTTTTCTGGCTTGTAGGGTTTCTGCTAAGAGATCTGCTGGAAGTCTGATAGGCTTCCCTTTGTGGGTAACCTGACCTTTCTCTCTGGCTGCCCTTAGTATTTTCTCCTTCGTTTCAACCCTGGTGAATCTAACGTTTATGTGCCTTGGGGTTGTTCTTCTTGAGGAATATCTTTGTGGTGTTCTCTGTAAAAATTATTATTAAATTGATTTGCCAAATATCTCAACATCACAGCAATTTATCAAATGTATCTCATGTTTCAAAATCCTTGTTTTAGAATCACATCAAAATTATTTAAAATTTAACTTAATATGTGTCACAAAATATGCCAACACAAAGTATTGAATGGTTGACTTGGTAATAAACCTAATAATAAATTATTAAATTACATAACTTTTATCTCTAGTGACTTCAAAAGGAGCAATTCAGTAGAAATGTTTCAAAAAATCATTTAAAAAATACAATGAAGACATGAAACTTGAAACTTCTATTTTTAAAAAAATTGTCAAGACAAATTTCTTCAGACTAGAATAAATACTCATTTATTTTTATTTTTATTCTCTCACAATCATGGAGAATCAGGCCAAAAATAGAGTTAGAAGTTATTCAAGAATGTCAGATCTGCTTCAAGTTATTTTTATAAGATAGATAGAAACAAATAAAATCTTTGTTTTTGTAAAGGAGTTTACACAGGTTTTCTTTAGACTATAAATAAGAAAACGGGAACCATTTTCTACATATGTTCCAAGTAATAAGTCATATTAAATGCTCAATCAGTATTTCTTCAATAAGAAGCCAGCACTAGTATCAAGTGTTAGAAATAAAAAACATGAAAATTATTTCAATTATTCATCTTGAAATAAAATGTAAAGAACTATCTTTTCTGTTGTGATGATTCTTCGTCGGGTAGGGATGAATGAGGAGGCATAAATGACCAACGGAAAACATTCCAGAATAAACACAGGGTCCTTGTCACACCATCATGAAATACTAGGCTCACAGACACTTTGAAGGGTGAGAAAAATAAAATTTATTAAGGATAAAAGGATAAAGAGGAACCAGGGACCCTCAGCAGAGTGAGAGCTAGCCTAGGCTTCCTGCTTCACAGATTGAATTCCAGGTTTTATACAGGAAAGGAAGAGGCCAGGCTCTCCACACAGAAAACAGCGCGAACTTCCCGAGGCTCCACTCCAGTGCCCACTCCTCCCAGTGTGCAGGCCTGTTGGAGGCTCTTTGATGACTCCTTTATACTCAGCCACCTTATTCCTCTCTCTAAATGAGTACATCCAACTGCTGTTAGAATAAGGATGCTGCTTCCTACTATGAGGAACAGTTTTGGGAAAACAGCACTCAGAGTCCCCTCAGAGGCCTATCTAAGGGTTTCTGGCAAAAGGGGTCATTGTCCAAGGCTCCAGCTGCTTGACCATTCAACCTTTGATGGCTGAAGGTGAGACAACACACACCAGATTATTAGAAAACATGTATCAAAACAAATTGAGCCGGGTGCGCTGGCTCATGCCTGTAATCCCAGCACTTTTTAAAGGCTGAGGCAGGTGGGTTGCCTGAGGTCAGGAGTTTGAGACCAGCCTGGCCAACAGAGTGAAACCCTGTCTCTACTAAAAATACAAAAAATACAAAACACTACATGGGCATGGTGGCAGGTGACTAAATCCTAGCTACTAGGGAGCCTGAGACAAGAGAATCTCCCAAACGTGGGAAGTGGAGGTTGGTGAGCCAAGATTCACCACTGAACTCCAGCTTGGGCTACAAGAGAGAAATTCTCAAACAAAACAAAACAAATCAAAGTGAATCAAAATAAGGAGAGGGGTAAAGACAACTTTCAAGGCCTTTTACCAGTTTGCACAGGAGAGGGAGGCCACTGGTAAAAAGAAACTTGGCCCTTTGGCCAGCAAGTTGACCTTCTGGGTTCCCTTCCCCTGAGCCCAATCCTAAGCCAACCAGTTTAAGGTTTGAAAACATAACTTTTCTCAGTTTGGAGGATACATCTGAGGAAAGTGTCCCATAGTATAGAGACAAAATTACCTCTCTGTAAGACAGGACAGAAGAGGAGAAAGAAAAAGATATTTTTTCGAAGGAGTCCCAGGGGTTCAGGATGGATTTCAAAAAGGTACAGATGGAAGATGGATGGGCAGGGGAGCAGGCACACCTGGTTTCCTTCTCTTCCTAGCAGATATACCCTGGGTATGTGAGGAAGAGGTATTCCCTCTTCTGTCCTTGCATCCCTGAGTCCCAGCAACCTTGGCAGGTGCCACCCAGAGGTGCCAAAGCAGCTTGTATTCATGAAGCAGGGAGGGCCTAGGGAATAGCAATTACCCACTCTCACCCATGTCTCTAGCGCACCTACTCTCAGCAGCCTTGGAGTTAACTAGACCTCATTTATGCAACGGATACTACTCACCCATGAAAAGGAACAAAATAATGGATGCAACTGAGACCATTATTCTAAGTTAAGTAACTGAGGAGTAGAAAAGCAAACATCTTAGGTTCTCACTCCTAAGTGGGAACTAAGCTATGAGGGTGCAAAGGCATAAGAATGATACAATGGGTTCTGGGGCCTTGGGGGAAAGGGCAGGAGGTGGATGACGGATAAAACAATACACATTGGGTAGTGTACACTGCTCAGGTGATGAGTGCACCAAAATCTCAAAAGTCACCACTGAAGAACGAGAAAGCAGAAACTGTTTTCTACATATGTTCCAAATAATATTAAATGTTCAGTTTTTCTTCAAAAACAAGCCAGCACTAGTACCAAGTGTTAGAAATAAAAAACATTAAAATTATTTCAATTATTCATTTTGAAATAAGAACTATATATTTTTTTGTGGTGGTGAGTTTGTTGTGGTGTAACCAAACACGTGTTACCCCAAAAACTACTTAAATAAAAAAATAGAAAAAAATTAAAAGTCTACGATAGAGAAAGAGGTCTCATCAATCTGTAAGTCATATTTCTGACAGCATGCCAAATAGATTTGTGTATTTGCATGTTGTGTATACAATATTTCTCTACTATAGAGAGCTCTAATTCATTGGCTTAAAGAAAAATACAAGTACGTTGTTTGTCAACCATTTTATCAATAAAAAGACTAGCCAAATGCTTTTTCACATTTATGTGACTTAAGTAAAACCTTTTATAAATAAGCTGGCTTTTGAATTATTGAGAAAGTATTAGAAATGCTGTGAAAATTCCTAGCATCGTTCTTTGCATTTGTTGATCACGTGATTTCATGCTTATTCCTGCAGAATACGATGAAGATTTGTTATAAGGGTTATAAAACTATACAACCCGGCCCAAGACAGAATGGTCTTTGCTTGTGTAATTTTTGATAAAAAAGACATGGAATAATTTGGCTTAATGAAAACATCTACATTCTGAGTTATTGTTAAAATACCCTTATATTTAACCTTAAGAAAAGTATTTAAATAGGGTGGGCACAGTGGCTCATGCCTCTAATTTGGGAGTACATCAGGAGGCCGAGGGGGGTTGATCACTTGAAGACAGAAGTTTGAGACCAGCCTGGCCAACATGGTGAAATACTGTCTCTCCTAAAAATACAGAAAAAATTAGCCTGTGTGGTGAGCACCTGTAGTCCCAGCTACTTGGGAAGCTGAGGCAAGAGAATTACTTGAACCCAGGAGGTGGAGGTGGCAGTGAACCCAGATTGCACCACTGCACTCCAGCCTGGGCAATAAAAGCAAAACTGTCTCAAACAGAAAAGAAAATTACTTAAACACCTGAAATTCACAGCTATAAAAATGGTTAACAGGGAATTTACTTTAAATAATGACTTTCACTGTTTTCATCATCTAGATAAAACATTAATCTAATAAATGGTTATAAACAAACTTGTCATATGATTTGGTATCTAAGGTTATTAACAGATATGAAGTAGCTGGATAATTTCCAACTCAAAAAATGTAGGAAAACATTTTTTAAATGTTCTTATTAGGAGGTCAATATCTTTGTCTAATTCAAAGCTTTTATAAAAGTTATGTATAAAATGAGGTAATAGGAACCAGGAAATAAGAGAAGAAACTTAAAGATATAAAAAAGTATTTTTGATAAAGGTGAAAAAAAGCAATTTTATATAAGAAGGAATCTTGTGTGGTAAATTTTTTGTCCTAAAATAAAATGACCAGGTTGTTCAAGAAAGAAAATATTTAGGCAAAACAGAAAGTCTAAGCATGTTGTGAATCATCTATGTAAATTGATAATAAGATTAGTTATGGAAACTTCACCTTTTTTTTTTTTTTTTTTTTTAGAAACAGAGTGATATAATTTAGTTGAATATGAGTAAGAAGAAAATCCTAATAGTCTTTCCAGAGGTGGGTCTTTTATATTAACAAAATTACACAAATACAAATTATAATTGGTTAAAACAAGACTTTATTTAAAATATTTAGTCATTTACTCATGAGATAGAGTTTCACTCTGTCACCCTGGACTGCACTGGTGCAATCCTGGTTCACTGCAACCTTTGCCTCCTGGGTTCCAGGAATTCCATCACAACTTTGCTCAAGTTTCTCTCCTTTCCCCAGCTCCTGGACTCTGCTCTGCCTTCAGTCTGAGCCAACATACAAACCCCGTTTATGCCCATCCTAAGAACAGGCTGACTTCTGGCTGAAACATTCCCTGAGCTTGAATCTGATTTTGCCATTCTCCACTCTTCCTCCCACCTTCCTTCTAATCTTGCTTGCTCCTCCATAAAAAACACAGCCCTTTTCTGCCTTTTATGAGATGCTTGCAGATCTGATGCCTGGTGATTTCCCCATTGTAATACTCCTTTAGAATAAAGTCACGTCTTACCTACATCAGAATTTATTTGACAATATCTAGAAACAGCCTCAGGACAATAACAATTATTCCCTCAAAGAGGACATCACAACCCCCCTATTCTCAACTCTGATCATGTCTGCCTATGCATTCCAGCTTTCAAGAGCTCTGTAGCTTCTCTCAGTATAAAGACCCCGTCTATGGCTGCTGCAAGCAGGCTGGGACACCTGAAGGGGAGGACCCTCAGGAAGAAAAGATTGTGCTATTAATGAACTCTTTTGACATGTCTGAATACGAATACTGCAATTTGGGGAAAAAAATGTTTTTAAAAAAACAAAAAAGTTATCTTTTAAAATCTAAAAAATTTAAATCATTGTTTTAAAAGCCTTACACAAGCCGGGTGCCCCTGTAATCCCAGCTACTTAAAACATTTAATTAAGGAGGGAGGCCAAGGCAGGAGAATGGCTTGGACCCAGGAGGTGGAAATTGCATTGAGCTGAGATCACACCACAGCCCCCTAGCCTGGCAACAGAGACTCATCTGAAAACAAAACAAAAAAAGCCTGACACCATTCACAGCTATCAGCCGACACACTAAGCAAGCATCTGTGAGTGGGCAGAAGGAGCCTACGCTTTGGAGTGGTTTCTATAACTCTGTTTACATTAAAAGAAACAGAAGGGTGAAGACTGTGTTGTTGCCCTGACAGGGTCCCATTCCTTATTATAAAGGGCAATCTTAGTTGTCTTTGAGTTAACTTAAATTGAGGTATTTCTTCTTTTGAAAATACAAACTTCTCTAGTTATTTAGCAGGAGAGGTGGTATTTTCCTGTCTTTTTTGGTGAGGGGTTCAGATGTTACAAGACCCCTCATTTCTTCCTTCAGGAGAGGATGGCCTTGGTGCGCTGAAGAGTAGTTACATCATCAACGCTCAAAGACCTGGTGATGCCAGTATAGAACACTTCGTATTGTTCCATCCTTGATAAAGCCTAAGAATGTCAAATAGAAAAGAGGTACAATTTTAAAAAGGGTTCCATCCTTTTAACAATCACCACTGATGGGAAGCCACACATGCAGATCCTTTAGCTAGTTCAGCTACAGCTACTTTGGCTGAGGTTTACACGCCCCCTTCTGGCAGCTTACTTAGGCCATCTCCTTTCAGGGCTAGAATTAGATTGTGGGAGCAAAGGGGAGCTTGCTTTATTAAGTTACTTAAAAATTGGGCTCCCCAGAATGTCACTGTATTGTGACAGGCTTCTAACAGTATTATCTGTTACCTGTGCACTTGTGCCTTAAAAATAATGAAAGCACAGTTTTGCAAAAAGTTAGTTTATTAACCTATTCACATTCTACCCAATCTATAAGTTATTATATACTCACAGAAAATTGTAACCGGGCAGGCATGTGCTGAATTGTATTGAAATGTCATCAAAGTCTAATGATTAGGCGTCAAAAGGCACTACTTTTATGCTTATGGTAGAAAATTGTATTATTTTAAAATACTTCCACGATGCCACAGAACATGCCTATTTTAAATGTTCATCCTTGTCAGCTGTAATTTTGCTGTGTACTTACCAAAAGTCACAAACCATAAATATTACTTTGTTCCATCAAAGTTATCATTTTCAGTAAAATCCTATGTACTTCCTGCAGCCAGTACTTGAGACACGCATGCCTCATACTGTCTAAGTGCATGTCTCTTGGCTTAGGCACTAATGGTTTCTCTAACATGCCCATGGGACTGACTGCACTGTGGAATACACAGTAGAAAATGATAGAAATTTGAAAACCGAGTAACAAAAAGTAGTCAAGAGTGGTAAGTGCATTACGTATGAAGACATCATTAGAAATACAATGGCAGGTCGGGCGCAGTGGCTCAAGCCTGAATTCTGAGCACTTTGGGAGGCCGAGGTGGGTGGATCACGAGGTCAAAAGATCGAGACCATCCTGGTCAACATGGTGAAACCCCGTCTCTACTAAAAATACAAAAAAATAGCTGGGCGTGGGGGTGCGTGCCTGTAATCCCAGCTACTCAGGAGGCTGAGGCAGGAGAATTGCCTGAACCCAGGAGGCAGAGGTTGCGGTGAGCCGAGATCGCGCCATTGCACTCCAGCCTGGGTAACAAGAGCGAAACTCCGTCTCAAAAAAAAAAAAAAAAAAAAAAAAAAGAAATACAATGGCAAGAAATCATTTCTGTATATTATTTGCAAGGGCAAAGGTTCAAAACGTTCAAATTCATTAAGAATAAATTTAATTTGATTAAAACATGCTGAATTATGGCCACAAAAGAGATAACATCTATAATTTCCCAAAAATGTGAATCCTTAGAAAAACCATAAGAGATACAGGAAATAGAATGCCAAAAGGTTAATAAGCTCTTCAGTATGTTAATTTTGAAGCTTTCCATTTTTCTAATCACTACTTCATATGACATAGTCATAAATGTTGGCACTGGTGTTTGACTCAAAACCCACTTAGTTACTTCATAGCCTTACCTGCAGATCCCATGCTCTTTGTGTGTCAAGAAGGTAAATAGGTGAACCCAGGCCATACGTATATACAAGGTCACGAAGATGGAAGTAGTATCTGGTATAACGCTTTTAGAAACGTTAGTATCATAATTAATTAGCTCCAAGAAGTTCATTTCCAACTTTTTCCTGGGGAAGGAGAAACACAACAGAACAAACACAGGACCATGTTAGTTCACTGGGCTGTCTTCAAAAACATTATTCTCATGTAAGAAATGTGGTAAGGCTATCATGTGCTCTAGTTTATTAGAATTCATGAAATAACGCACACTGGACAGAACCCAATCTAGTGAAGAAATACAAGAAAGAGTGCAACTTTCCCAATTCCCTTTGAAACTCAGAAAAAAACCAGTACCCAAAATGAAACATGAATGTAAAAAATGTTAATAAACTTGATTTTCCCTATGTTCCTTTTCAAAGACATATTCACATTTAACATGGAGAAAGATGACATAAACTTAAGAAACATGGTAAAGCCTTCACCTTTTTTATTTCTCTGAAAACATGAAAGGATTCAATGGGAAATTCCTTATAAATAGAAACATGTGTTAAGGTCTTCAGTTGTTCCAGTTCCACATGAAGATAAGAACTCATTTCTGAAATAAAACCTATGAATGTATAGAATGTAGAAATGCCTTCATTTACATGATATTTTCTCCAAGACCCATGATAATACACACTGGAGACAGACCCTATAAATATAAGAAAGCACGCTGGATTGGAACCCTGGTAGATTACCAAATACAGAAAAGTTTACAGTTTTAAGAATTTCTTCAACATTGATGTGAAAACTTTCCCTAGAGGGAAATCCTACTCATGTTCATAAATTGAAAAGCCTGATGCAAATTCATTCTTGTATAATTTTCAAAAAGATACATAAGTACATGTTACCCTACTTCTATTTTGTTTCTCAGTGATTCTTCATTTGAAAGGTTCTCTGTATTACTTCCACTTCTTTTGCAAGAAAACACTGAAGTTACAATTTTGTAGATACTTTTTAGACAATACTATATGCATTTAATAGCAGTTGTTTTTATTAAGTCAGGTAAAAAAACTTTTCTCTAGTTATTTAAAAATATCACACTGAGCTACAAGAATGGCTCCAAATTCTGTTTTGAAACACTTGGAAGTAGGTTCCTACGCTAATGTCCAAACAGGGCACAGCTGCTTGCAATCCATTTTGAATCCAGCACCCCAAGATTGGGATGAGGAGAAAGACCTCCTCTGTACTTGTGCAGCTGACTCGGGAACATTCTTGAGCGTTCTGTTGCACAACTCAGACTTCATGGTCACTCCCAAGATACCACAATAGTGATCAGATGACAGAAATGATGAATGCCATTTATTAGCTGTCACTATTATGGGGCAGGAATACTCTTTACACTTCCAATGGCAGAAAGATCAGAGAGAGACATCTTGGCTAAACTAAACTCATTTTATGAGATGCCTTCTGGTAGGGTGCCAGCCTTACACAGTTTCTCCTGAGTTGAGTTAGAAATGAAACCCCAAGGTGCTCAGCATCTGTCACCCCTGGCCACAACAGAATGTGGGGTTGAGTTGAATGCACTGATTGGGGAACAGGCTCGAAACAGCCCTCTGCAGCTTAATTATTCACCTGTCCTGGCCAAAGGTTGTTTTTATTTTTCTGAGACAGGGTCACCCAGGCTAAAGTGCAGTGACATGATCCTAGCTCACAACAGACTCAACTTCCCAGGCTCAAGTAACCCATGCACCTAAGTCTTTCAAGGCTTGGAACTACAGGCTGGTTCCAATTAACTGGGCAATTTTTAAAAATTCCTTTTGTAGAGACAGGGTCTCACTTTTTGCCCAGGCTGGTGTTAAACTCCTGTGATCAAGTGGGATACTCCTACCTTGGCCTCCCAAAGTGCTGGTATTACAGACATGAACCACTGTATCCAGCACTTGGTCAAATGTTTAAATAATACAAAACAGGAGTAATCTTATCACTCTCATAGTAATCACTGTGAAGACTTAATTGCATAAAACAATATCTCAACAGCACACTTGGTTTCTTGCTTTTAATGTTTCAATGTTTTATCCACTGGCTAAGTCAACAAATTGCTTGAAGTTCTCGGTATGGAAAGCAGTTAGGATATAAGCAGACATGAGGTTTTCTCACTGGTTTCACTAAAAACCCAGCTGAAACTACTTCCAACATTAATTTCCTATTCAAATAACCACAAGGCTATGATGGGAATGTCAGTCAGATATGAATAATCAGCTGACCAGGACTTAATTTACTATAGGAACATATGCACTTCATAATCTCTTTTGTGTATTTCCATAAACATATTTTAACTGTGTAAAATATGGTATTTCATAGAAGATCGTGTTTATTAATAGTAGTTATGTGAAGACAACAATTATCCCTACAGAATATGTATCTCCTTAGTTTTTTTTTTTTTTTTTTTTTTTTTGAGATGGAGATTCACTCTTGTTACCCAGGCTGGAGTGCAATAGCGCGATCTTGGCTCACCGCAACCTCCACCTCCCGGTTTCAGACAATTCTCCTGCCTCAGCATCTGAGTAGCTGGGATTACAGGCATGCGCCACCGTGCCCAGCTAATTTTTTGTATTTTTAGTAGAGATGGGGTTTCACCCATGTTGACCAGGATGGTATCGATCTCTTGACCTCATGATCCACCCGCCTCGGCCTCCCAAAATGCTGGCATTACAGGTGTGAGCCACTGCGCCCAGCAGTTTTTGTTTTTAATGGCTGAATCGCATACCCTTTATAAGCACGGCAAATTTTTGAACTAGAAGCTGCTCGGTTTAACTTACATGTATATGTGTGTGTGTCTGTGTATATATATGTTTACAATAATGTTTTTAAATTTTATTTCAATCGTTTTTGAGAACAGGTGTTTTTGGTTCATGGATAATTTCATTAGGAGTGACATAAGACTTCTGGGTTCACCTACCACTTGAGCAGTGTACACAATATGTAATCTTTTTTTTTTTTTTTTGAGACGGAGTTTTGCTCTTGTTACCCAGGCTGAAGTGCAATGGCGCGATCTCAGCTCACCATAACCTCCGCCTCCTGGGTTCAGGCAATTCTCCTGCCTCAGCCTCCTGAGTAGCTGAAATTACAGGCACATGCCACCATGCCCAGCTAATTTTTTGTATTGTTTAGTAGAGACGGGTTTCACCATGTTGACCAGGATGGTCTTGATCTTTTGACCTCATGATCCACCTGCATCAGCCTCACAAAGTGCTGGGATTAACAGGCTTGAGCCAGCACACCCAGCCCCAATATGAAATCTTTTATCCATCACCCCCCCCACCAACCTTCCCCCTTTAGTCCCCAAAGGCCACTGTATCATTTTATGACTTTGGATTCTCATGGAGAATACATATTTGGTTTTCCATTCCTGAGTTACTTCACTCAGAATAACGACCTCCAGCTCCAACCAGGTTGCTGTAAAGGCCATTATTTCATTCTGTTTTATGGCTCAGCATTAGTCCATGGTATGTATATTCGACATTTTCTTTGCCGATTAATTGATGGGCATTGATGCTGGTTCCATATTTTTACAATTGTAAACTGTGCTGCTATAAACATGCATGTGCATTTGTCTTTTTCATATGACTTCTTTTCCTTTGGGTAGATACCCAGTGTGAGATTGCTGGATTGATGGCAGTACTGTTTCCACAGTGCTTGTACTAGCTTACATTCCCATCAGCAGTGTAAGTGTTCCCTTTGACCAAATCCGTACCAGCATAGATGATTTTTTGATTTTTTAATTATGGCCCATTCTTGCAGGAGTAAGGTGATATTACATTGTGGTTTTAATTTGAAATTCCCTGATAATTAGTGATGTTTCTGAAGAGAAATACATCCTAACAAGACTACACGATGTTGAAAAGTTTGAAAAAAACCTGATAGACACTAATTTTTAAAAGGTTCAATTACAGTCAAAAAGAGACCATTATAAACAATCAACAGTAGAGGGACAAGATAAATGTGCATTAAACACTTTGTTGTAATGTTTTTCAATCTCCAAAGATCATGAGCATAGCTCCTCTTCAGAGCAGAGCTCCCGATGCTTCTGCGTTCTACACAATGGCACTATGTAGAACTGGTCATCTTGGGGCTGGCCTCTGTCATCACTGTCTCTGGAGTGATGGACACCTGCACATTTTCTCTGTGTATTCTCTGACCTTGGAACTAGAGCTAGAGCCCCGCCAGATTAGCTGTAGGTCTTGAGATCAATTTAACTGCCACTATAGCGGAGCTAAGTGTTTCTCATTACGAATTTTGCTCCCTTCAAGAAACCAGTTTACAAGCTGGGCACGTGGCTCATGCCTATAATTCCCAGCACTTTGGGAGGCTAAGATGGGTGGATCATCTGAGACCAGGAGTTCGAGATCAGCGTGACCCATGGAGAAACAACATGGAGAAACCCATGAAGAAAGAAATTAAATACTAACATTAGTAGTCTGTAATTGCTACATAATAAAATTTACTCGTTCTGTTCAATATAAAACCTAACCCCTAGCTCTGCTTGAAATTAACTAACTCCCTTCAAATCTACCTTATCTACCTCTCCCTACTTTTTCAGCAAGTTCCCAGGCATCTCAGGACTCCTGTTTTTCTTGCAGACCAGCTGCAAGGTCACGGGTAATATAACACCAAAGAATGTGCAATGTGTTTCTGAAAAATGCGATTTTCAGCCATAACATACATCACAAGTACGTCACAAGTAACTGTTCTTTCTCTGGCTTCTGGTAAACCTGTTAGTTGCTATGTCATCCTGGCTGTATAACAAATCAAGCCCTGTCTTTGTTCGGCTCACACGCCGGGGAGGCAAAATCCGCCGAGGGTGGCCACCTCAAAATAATCATGTTCACCATTGGTCGATCCAGGCTCTGAAATTATGGTAAAACCCCATCTTTACTAAAAAATAGAAAAATAGCTGGGTGTGGTGGCACAGGCTGTAATCCCAAGCTACTCAGGAGGTCTGAGGCAGGAGAACTGCTTGAACCAGGTAGGCGGAGGTTCGTGAGCCAAGATCCCCCATGCACCTGTTGCCCTAGGCAGCAAAAGCAAAACTCCATCTCCCTCCCTCCTCCTTCCTCCTATCCCTCACTCTCTCTCTCTCTCTCACACACAACAAGGACACACAACCACAACACACACACTCACTCACACAAGAAAAAACCAGTTTACAAAGTGAGGACAGTAGTGATTAAGAGAACTGTAGGTTCTGCAACTTTCAAATGACGTTCATTTTCTGTTAAATCCTTTACAAAACTGGTACTAGCTAATATCACCATGGACAATTCAGTTTAGTACTATTGGCAAAGTGGAACTTAGCAGCCATTGACAAGCAACCACAACCATCACTCGTCCTTCTTGGAATGCTTACAAGAAGCCTAATTCTTTCAACTGTAAAATACACTGTGGTATCTGAATGAAAGTCTTTAAAAATTTTTTGGGTAGATGGTAGGGTGGACATAGTTATGGGGTATATATAATTAGTTTGATACAGGCCTATAAGGGGTAATGATCATAGCGGTATATGGGAAAATTAATCTCACTCAGCATGTGTTATTTTTTATTATTATTTTTTACAACTAATTCAATTATATCTTGTAGTTACTCTAAAAGTAAATTAAATAATTATTAACTGTTGTCACCCTGTTGTGCTTTCAAATACTAGAGTTATTTATTCTGTCCAACCAAAGTGGCACCTATTAACAATCACACCTTACTCCTATCATATCCTCTACTTAGCAGCAGCTGCAAACATCTCTACTCTATATATTCATGAGTTAATTATTTTAATTTTTAGTTCCCACAAAATCAGTGAGAATAGCTGTGAATTTTGTCTTTTGTGTCGGGCTTAGTTACTTAAAATTCCAACCACGTTGTTGCAGATAACAGGTCTCATTATTTTGTGGTTGAAGAGTCGCCATTGAGTATATGAACCCATTTTCTGGTAGCCATCTCATTGTTGATGATGCTCAGATGCTTCCAAATCTGGGTGGGTGTGAATAGTGCTGAAAACATACATGAGAATTGCAGGTACTCATCTGACATACTGATTTCCTTTTTTGGGTTTATACGCCGCAGTAGATTCCTGGATTATGTGGTGGCTCTATTTTAGTTCTGGAGGACCTCACAAATGTTCTCCATGTGGCTGTATTTAAATTACATTCCCACTTACAGTGTACAAGGGTTACCTTTGCTCTATATCCTCACCAGCATTTGTATTGCCTTCTCTTACAATAAGAGCATTTAAGTAGGTGAGATGATCTTCATTGTAATT